GTTCCTGGTGCTTCCTTTTAACCCCTGCTCCCCAGGTCCCTGAGGCAGGAGGCTGCCCCACCCTTTTCCTCCTCACTCAGGCCACCCACACACATTCTTCCTCCCCCCACAGATCAGTTCCTGATGACCCCTGACCCCAGCTCCCAGGGAGGAGAGCACTAGTCCCAAGGTGCACTGGGGGCCTGGACTCCTGGGTCTGAGGGAGGGAAAGATGGGAGTTTGGCCTCCTCAGTCCCTAGACTTTTAGGTTTTTGAGCAAGAAAGTGTCTAAGGACCCAGATGTGGACCTCCCAGGTAAGCAAATAGTGGCCCTGGCGTCCGGGAGCCTCACCACCTCTGTCGGTGCGCGGGCCTGCAGGTCCCCGGGCCCTGGGAACCAGGCTGCATGGGTCCAGTGGGGTTGGGATGATTCACGCACCTGCTGGAAGTCCCTCTGTGGGTGCTGACGACCTCCTTGTCCCCACGAGAGAGTGAGCCAGCGAGCAAGAAAGCATGTGTCACCGAACTGGCAGCCGACCCTGCCCCGGGCTGGGGCGCAGGCCCAGGCACTATGGGGAAAGGGCCCTGGAACAATCAGGCTTTGTCCGCCCCAGCCCTCAGTGCCATGCTCCTGGCAGCTCCATTTCTCAATCTCTCTTCCAGGCAGGCTGGTGACAGGCGGCTGTGTCAATAGCTTCTCTTTGTCCCTGTCTGACAGCTCTCTTGCTGTCTTTTGATTGTCCACCCACCTCTGCCCCAGACATCAGGACTTCTGACCCTCCTGGACCCCTGCTCCTTCAAGTTTTCCCACCTCTGAGGTCTCCCTGTCTGTCTCTCTCCCTGGCTATGACGGGATGTCTCCATGTCTGTCTCTCTTTTTCCTCTATCTGTTCCTCTCAGTCTCTACCTGTGCCTCTCTATCCCTCTGCTTCTTTCTCCATCTTTTTCTCTGTGTCTGTCTTGCCCCTTTATTCTCCGAATCTTCTAATCTCTCTGCTTATCTTCCTTTAGTTTCCCCCTGCATTTTTTTTTTTAAGATTTTTATTGGGAAATTGGGGGGATGGGAACAGTGCTGGGGAATTGNCTTTGGGGTCCTCTATATATAGTATCATGTCATCTGCGTATAATGACAATTTTACTTCCTCTTTGCCAATGTGGATGCCTTTTGTTTCTTTTTCTTGTCTGACTGCGGTGGCTAGAACTTCCAGAACTATTTTGAATAAAAGCAGATAAAGTGGACAGCCTTGTCTTTGAACAAGATCTTGAAGGAAGTGGTAGATGGATTCATGTAGCTACTTGGAGGCAGTGAGTTCCAGGCAGAGTAAACAGGCAGGTGAATAGGCAAAAGGAAACTTAGAATGTTCTAACAGGGAAGCCATTTTGACTGGAGCTGAATGAGCAAAGAAGACATGAACAGGCAGTGAGGTCAGAGATATAACAAGGCTAAGATGACGTAGGGACCTGAGGACCAATAGGACTTTCTTTTCACTATGAGCAAGATGGGAACCATTGTCAGATTATTACTATTGATAGACGACAAATTTCTAGTAGTAGAATTGACCCGTACTTTTAAATCAGATTCAAAATTGTGATTCATTTCTCAGCTATGAGCCCAAATAGTGCCTCAGTACTGAGCCCTAATCCAATTCTACCTCTGTCCCATATTTTGACCCATCATAGAAATTATTGTTACCTACCCAAGCATTCACTGCATCTGCCTTTCTATCAGAATCTCAGTTTTGTTTGGACAATCTTGTATCCTCATGGTGGCCACAAATAAGCTTTACTGCACCAAGCATGGGAGTCATATACTGCTTGCCAGTGATAGGTTTAGAAATGGACATGTAATGCAGTTCTGGATAATGAGGAACGAGGGGGAAACCACTCGGTCGATTCTGGGAGATAATCCTTTTTTCCAAAGCAAGACACTAGAAAAATTCTCTTTTCGCATGTTAGGTGGTGTCCCTTGTGGGTGGAAATTCTGGACGTGTGGCAACCCTGGGACCATGGAGGGAAGTGGCTGGTGGACCTAGCTGAAACGCTGTAGATGGCCAAACAGAGAGATGGAAATAACTGATGTCTTTGATGAGGTCGCTGAACTGGTGAACTAACCCTCCATGGGGCCTCTTCATCTCATGACATCATCAGGTGTCCTTTCTGGTCTGGAGATTTTTTGGTTCCCACAGTCAAAATCTTCCATATGAAAACATCAACTTTGAGTCCAAATCTCAAGTCGGATCCCAAATCCGATCCCAAACCATGAAATCCAAATCCAATTCTAACTTGAATCTCTATCTGGAAACTACATTAAGCAGCAAACCCAACTCTACCTCCAGTGCTACCTCTTCCCACATCTTCTCTCAGATCCAACCCATTATACACTTAAGAAATGTGTACTGAGCACCAGTTACATACCAAGCTGGGCTCGGTGCTGAGGATACAGTGGTACATAAGCCTGGACAGAGTCCTGTTCTTCAAGAAACTGATAGTCAAATGTTACAGAAAAAAATAATCAAATATTAATACACAAATGTAAAATTACAACCACAATGTATGCTCTGAAGTAAAGGTGCAGAGTGTTATGAAAACACTTCCAGGAGATTTAGACCTAGGAAATGACAATAAGCTGACAATGGAAAGAACAGTAAGCACGAACTATAAGAAAATGGAAGGGGCCTGGAGAGGGTATCGTGTACAGGACACAGCATGTGCTAAGCTCCTGAGATGGAAAGGAAGTACAGGTGGAACTCAGAGAATAGGGGTTGGTTGGAACCAGACAATGAAGGACCTTGTAGGTCATGGTGAGTTTGACTTTATCTGGTGGACAATGGTGAACCACTTGGACATTGGGGGAGTGACATAACAAGATTTGTATTTTCAAAATATCAATCTGGCTACTACATGAAGGATGGATTTGAAGGGGATGTGGAGTTGAGGAGGCCATTGTTGTTGTTCAAATGAGAGATGGTGATGACTTGGATAAGGCCTTCTGGAAGATGGAGATGGTAATAAGTGGATGGATTCAAGATGCATTTAAGAGAGAACATCAACAGGCTTTGGTGATGGATTGAATGGAGGTTGTGGTGAGAGAGTTTGAAATGTTAGAACTTCAGTGGCTGTTGATTGATGGACAGCGATGTTATTTATTGACAAGGCATGGTCAAATATAATCAAGAGCATAGAAGAGCATTAGAAATATTTCAGTCCCTGACTTCATGAATAATTTTAACTCCCATCCATACTTTGACACAACTCTCAATACCAATGTTGACACAAACCCAAGTCTTAACCTGGAAACTTAAGTCTTACCTAATCCTAACCTTCGGTACTGGTTTATCCTTCACCAACACCAACTTATGCCACAACTTGGAACCTTCTTTCTGACCAAGTTCCTGGCTCCAAGTATTAACTCAAGCTACAACTCATACCTCAACCAACCTTAATTCTGACTGTTAACTCTGTTAACTTAAACCCTGAACTCCAAATCATAAGCCAGTCTCAGCTTTGACCCAAACACTGGATGTGACCATAGCCTCAGTCCCAAACTTGACCCCATGTGCAACTCAGACTTTAGTTTCCATCCCTGTCATATTCCAGGAATTTCACATTGATATTCTCCCCCCACGAACCCATCTCCAATTCACATCTGACACCAATCCTAACATTCTGAACCCAATCCCAGTCCTATTCTCATTCCCAACCCAATTTCTACCTCAAATCCCTTCCTCATTTTCTTGTCCAACTTCTCTCCCGCACCTCTTCATCAGCTCTACACACTACCTTGATTCTTGTTTTACAAAACCTGTAAAATGAAGTCTACCAACTTCCAGTCAAGATGGCATAGCAGGTAAACTCTGTGCTTCCCTTCTCCCCCAATCACATCAAAATTACAGCTAAATCATAAAATAATCATCATTGAAAACCACCTGAAGACTAGCTGAGCAGGAGTCCTATAGCTAAGGATATAAAGAAGAAGCCACATTGAGACTGGTAGAAAGGGCAGAAATGTGCAATGGGCAGGTCCCACAGACACGGTGTGGTGAATACAAATCAGGAGGTGTATCTCAGCAGAAGTCCTTTCTGAGGAGTGAGGGGTTGTAGCCCCACATAACCCTCCCCAGCCTGGAACACCAGTACTAGGAAGAGGGGTCCCTATAACAACTAGCTGCAAAAACCATGGAAGAGTGTTAAAAACCAAGAAATGCTGCTCTTAAAGGTCTCCCCTCCCCCCACAGACTCACTCACTCACAAACTAACTTGCTCTAATCTTTAATGCAAGGGCAGCAGCTCAAAAAATGCTAGTGACACACAGGGAGGAACTAAATTGACTAACTTCAGAGCAAGAGCTGTAGGGACAGGGGTCAGGGCAACTCCCTGTGTAGACAAAAGTACTGGCAGGCTCCACTGTTCTTTTGTTGAACTCTTCCTCCCAGTTGCCCCAGCACAGGCAGTCTCCAAATCTGACCTTGGCCTGCACAAGAGCCCCTCTCAAGAGGCTCCAGTCCCAATACAGTTGATGGCTGGTTTCAGACCCCACCACAGCCCACCCAATGAGCTCCATAAATGACAAACCTGAAGGGTGGACATGACTGGCACTGGCGACCTGCTAAAGTGACTCCTGCTTTGTAAAATCAGATCTCACACCACAGTTCTTCTGCTGTATTCATAACCAGCCCTCACATCCAGTCAGCCTGAGGGTCAACCCCACCCACTGATGTGCCAATAGCAATAGAGGCCCAACTACAACACGAGGGTACACACAACCCATACAGGAGACACCCTGGAGCACCCAGCTCAGGTGACTAGGGAGACTGCACTACTGAGCACCACAGAACACTTTCTTTTTAAAAGATTTTATTGGGGAGTTAGGGGAGGATAACAGCATTGGGGAATTGGGGAAGGGGAACAGACGAATTGCTGTCTTTTTGCTCTTCAGTCTAGTTGTGGAGGATGTCGATTCACTGGCCCATATTGGTATTATCATTGTGCTGTTCCCAGGTAAAGCAGATCAGTTGCCAATCACTGGATGGCCACTCATGGTGGCTCTTGGCAGCTCACGCCGGCTGCCGGCCGCTTATGGTAGCTTACGGGAGCCCACTGGAGCAGGGACTGCAGCCTACGCCATCGCCGGTGACTCATGGCAGTCCAGCTCCAGGTCGAGCTGTTGTTCACTGTCTTAGCTGTAGAGGGCACAGCGTCACTGGCCCACATGTGCAATCTGAACCAGGGCCCTGCTGCTCAGAGCTGGCATCCCAAGCCAACTCTTAACCAATGTACCACTCTGCTGGCCCCACAGGACACTTTTTATATCAGGCCACTCTGTCAAGACTAGGAGACAAAATAGATCTACTTAATACATAGAGAGACAAACACAGGTAGTCAGCCAAAATGAGGAGACAAAAAAAAAAAAAAGTCCCAAATGAAAGAACAGAACAAGATTTCAGAAAAAGAACTAAATCTAATAGAGACAAGCAATCTACTGGATACAGTGTTCAAAACACTCGTTATAAGGTTGCTCAACAAACTTACGAGAAGAATAAACTTAGTGACAACTACAA